CTTTGAGAGCGATCACATGGCCCCCGGGGGCCTCATTTGCCGTGGGAGGGCTGTGTAGGTAAGTAGCCCGGGCGCTCCAGGGCTCAAAGCAGTTACGGTGTTCTATCCCGCCACAACGGCTTTAAAGCCCACTTAATGCGGGACGGCATAGAGCGCTGTAACGGCGTTAAGGGGTTAGCCTAAATCCAGTGGAGGAACTCTTGCTTTTTTCCCCATTGATTTCAGGTCTCCCTTTTGCATCAATCTGGTAGTGGCATAGAACACTTTGAACGTGTTGCCATTTTCTCCCTGTCCAAGAGTTTGAGAAGTGGGCTAGACCTCTAAAAGCGTGGAAATTTTAAGCCATTAAAGAAACAGACATGCTTCTAAAGGAAAACACAAGCCAGTAAAGACATTTCTTACCTTAAAGGGACTCTCCAGTGCCAGGAAAACATCAGTTGTCATGGCACTGCCCCTCTCCAATGTTGCTGAATGGATTAAAACCCCTTCAGTGACTCACCTGAATCCAGCGACCGATGTCATTCGGTGCTGGGTCAGGCTCCGCCCATGATCCTCCAGACAGGCGGTATGGGAGACCGCATGCGCAGCAATGGCCACGGGCACGCATTAGACCCCCCCCTCCCCATAGGAAAGCATTCAATGCTTTCTGATGGGGATTCAGACGACGCTGGAGGTCCTCATGCATAGCGTCATTTAAAACACTTTGTAATCCAAGAACACAGAAGCCCCTCTAGTGGCTGTCTGATGGACGGCCACTAGAGGACTTAACCCTTCAAGGTAAATATTGCAGTATAAAAACTGCAATAATTACACTTGCTGGGTTAAGGGTGCTGGCATCCAGACCACTCCAATGGGCAGAGGTGGTCTGGGTGCCTTGAGTATCCCTTTAAATACCTTAGACCTGTGTGGGTCTCGGTGACACAGTAAACCCACAATGACATACCTTGACTGTCTGCATTGTTTTTATAGAGCCAAAATTTTAAGTTTGCGCCAAATTTCTGAAGTTTCAAATTGTGCCTGCGCAGTTACACAGGTGACCATGTGTCTCACTAAAGTTCTGAGTGTGTGTTCCACCTCTGTGCTCAGCCTGCCTTCCGCTTGACGATCTGCCCTGGAACGCCTCCATTAGTAGCTCTGCATAAACCAGTGACTGCTCATTTGCTCCAGAACTAGCCTCTGAGCAGGGTCCCTCAGCTCACTGCCTGAGATGCTATCAGACCGTGTCCCCCAGACATCAACCAGTGCGCCACACCTGCCTGGATAAGCTTGCGTTTCGCCTGTTCCTCCCGGAAAAAACTGGTAAGGTTTTGGGAGGTCTGGGCTCTTCCAGGGTAAAGGAGGTACTGTTTAAATATACATCTGCTCTGTTCAAAAAGAACTCCAAACCCCACACTGGTACAGCCACTGTATGTTGGGAAAAATAAATATTCTCCAACCGGCTATTTGGTCAGTTTTTTCACCCCCATTTCCAATTTACTTCACAGAATTATAGCTTAAGGTATTTACATTTTGCAATCTGGTTTTAAATTTCATTAGTTTAATATAAGGCATAAGAGGATTAAACACCAGACAAAATGTAGTGGAAAGTCCAAATAAAAATAAAAAATTAAAATTTTTAATTCTAAGAGAAAGATTCACTAAACTAGTGCGGTGAGACACCATTAAAGGGATCCTATAGGTTTAATAGGTCCTGCCCCCCCCTCGCGGGGCTGAAGGAGGTTAAAAACGCCTTCAACCACTTACCTGAATTTAGTGCCGATGTCCCTCAGCGCTGTGTCAGGTTTAGCCCACGTTCCTCCCCCCCAGATGACAGCCGGCAATGTCTGTGCGCATTATTCAAGAATCCAGCCTGTGTTAATCCGCACTTCTATACAGTTGGATCCATACCATCAATTCCGCTGCCATTCTTTGATGTGAATATTAAATCTATGCCAATCTAATTCTGACATGAGATTTTTATTGTGTAATCTTTCCCGATTCGGATTCCCCTGATCAATCACCATTTACACAGATTTCAGGAGTAATTAAAAAATAGCTTTATTAAAAAACCCATGTAAAGGCATCCTGTACATTATTTACACATTCACACAGTGAACACAGTTAAAATGATCAATCAATCAATTCTCCTCCAGGAAGGGATCAAGTGTCATCTGAAAGACAGTAAAGTGAATACAAGTTTAGTTTTACAGTTTGTTAGAGAAACGGTTTACTAGCCATAGAATAAAGTAATGGTCATTAAAAGGGACAATGTAGTCCCCAAAAACGAAAATTAAAGGGACACTATAGTCACCAGAACAACTACAGCTTATTGAATTTGTTCTGGTGAGTAGAATCATTACCTTCAGGCTTTTTGCTGTAAACACTGTCTTTTCAGAGAAAATGCAGTGTTTACATTACAGCCTAGTGATAACTTCACTGGCCACTCCTCAGATGGCTGTTAGAGATCCTTCCTGGGTCATGGCTGCCTAAAATGCATCCAAACATTCAGTGTCTCCACCCTCTGCATGCAGACACTGAACTTTCCTCATAGAGATTCATTGATTCAATTCATCTCTATGAGAAGATGCTGATTGGCCAGGGCTGTGTTTGAATCATGCTGGCTCTGCCCCTGGTCTGCCTCTTTGTCGGTCTCAGCCAATCCTATGGGGAAGCATTGTGATTGGATCAGGCCACCACTTCTAAGATGTCAGCAGACTGCTTGTTTTTCTGAGTCTAACAGCATGCAGAGTTACAGCTTTAGGCTTGAATACAGTAAGAATTTGCTATATTTATGAGGCATGAAGGGCCCAGTGGGGCTAGCTGGTGGTTTTAACACTATAGTGTCAGGAATACAAGTTTGTGTTCCTGACCCAATAGTGTTCCCTTAACCTAGTGAATTGAACAGTGAGACTGCAGGGGCATGAGTTATACACCAAAACATGTCCCACGTCACTGCTTCTTCCTCCTCCTCTGTATTAAGTCGCCCGGTGGGAGAGACTGATCCCTCCCACTGGCCGGGGAGACCTAATGCACCACGTTAAATGTCAGTTGCCACAGCACTGACCATTTTTCTAGTTTACCTAAATCATTTGCCATATCCCGCCTGGAACATCAACCCTGTTACATATCTTAGTATCAGCAAAAAGACATACCTTACCATCAAGACCTTCTGCAATATCACTAATAAAAATATTAAAGAGAATGGGTCCAAGTACAGATGCCTAAGGTACCCCACTGGTGACAAGTCCAAGCTTTGAATATACTCCATTTACTACAACCTTCTGTTGCCTGTCACTCAGATACTGCCTTACCTTATTCAACAATATTTGAATCCAAACTTAAAGATTGCAGTTTATTGATAAGCCTTCTATGTGCAACAGTGTCAAAAGCCTTACTGAAATCTAGGTAAGCAATGTCTACTACACCATCCTGATCTATTAGTTACCCAATCCAAAAAAAAAAAAAATTAATAATTTATATTTAATAATAATATATATATTTTTTATGTGTATATATGCTTGGCATGATCTCCCTGAAGTAAACCCATGTTGTCTCTGATCTTGAAATCCATGCGTTTTTAGATGTTCAACAATCCTATCCTTTAACATGGTTTCCATCACTTTCCCCACTACTGAAGTAAGGCTTACTGGCCTATAGTTGCCCGACTCCTCTCTATTACCTTTCTTGTAAATGGGCACAACATTCGCTAACTTCCAATCTTCTGGGACTACTCCTGTTAACAATGATTGGTTAAATAAATCTGTTAATGGTTTTGCTAGTACACCACTAAGCTCTTTTAATAGCTTTGGGTGTATTCCATCAGGTCCCATTAGCTTATTTGACTTTACTTTTGATAGGAAAAAGGATAAATGAGTCATTTATTACACGTGTGTTTACAGCGGAACAGGTTCTATTTCAACTAACTGAGGTCCCTTTCCTTCATTTTCATCTGTAAACACTGAACGAAATTATTCATTGAGGCAGTCAGCCTGACCTTTATCCTCTTCTACATACCTTCCTTCTTTTGTTTTTAATCTAACTAATCCTTGTTTTACTTTTCTCTTCTCATTTATGTATCTAAAAAAATGTTTTATCCCTTTTTTACTGACTGTGCTATTTTCTCTTCTGTGTGTGATTTGGAAGCTCTTATAACTTGCTTAGCCTCTTTCTGCCTAATCTTATAGATCATTTTGTCTTCCTCACTCTGGGTTTTTATACAAATTACTAAATCCCAACAGGTTTTTTTTTTACTAAATTTTGGCCACATCTGCGGAGTACCACAGTGGCTTCTTGAATTTTTTGCTTTTACTGACTAGCCTAATGCAATTTTCCACTGCCTTCAGCAGTGCACCTTTTAAATAATCCTATTTCTCTTGGACTCCATTTAAATTGCTCCAGTCTGATAATGACTCCTTTACACATATTCTAATTTTAGAAAAGTCTGTTTTTCTAAAGTCTAAATCTTTTGTTTGTGTGGTGTGACTCAGTCACTGTTCTTATATTAAACCACACTGACTGATCATCACTGGATCCTAAACTTTCACCTACAGTAACATCTGATACCAAATCTCCATTTGTTAACACTAAATCTAGTATGGCCTCCTCAACAACTTGTTTTAGAGACAATCCCAGTAGGGAGTTTAGAATATGTGTGCTCCTGGCACAAGCAGCTATTTTAGTTTTCCAATTTACATCAGGGAGATTAAAGTCACCCATGATGATTACTTCCCCCTTCATTGTCATTTTAGCCATTTCCTCAACTAGTAGATTATCTAACTCTTCAATTTGTCCTGGGGGCCTATAAAATCACACCTACACGAGTTACTCTGTGATTACCAAATTCTAACGTAACCCAAACGGACTCTATGTTCACCTCACTAACTTTTATTAGGTTAGATTTTATGCTATCCTTCACATACAGGTCCACCCCTCCCCCTTTCTTGCCTTCCCTATATAAAGAGTAGCCTGGTATTGCTATGTCCCAGTCATCTTTCTCCTATTTCTACCCCCCTCCCCCCCCCCGGGGAGGACTTTAGGGCCCCCACCAGCTGCTCAGGGGTGGGGGACCCCTGAGCAGCTGGTGGGGGCCCTAAAGTCCTCCCCCACCCCCCCCCCCAGAGCGGTGGGTGGGGGCCCTAAATAAAAATGTAACACACACAACCCCCCCCATAAATATATGTATGTTTTGGATACACCTTTTTGATATATTTAACTATCCGTTATGTTAGGTTTTCCTATTGTATAGTTTGACATTTTATAGATGTGTATAATCCCTTTGGGTTCTTCTTTATCGAAGGTTAGAGCTCATGTTAGATTTTTTATTTAGCCAATTCTGAGTTTCCAGTTTTCTTCCATTATGGTATAACACTTTATCATCTATGGCCTCTGACATCCGGTTTGCGATCGTCGAACGCATGGATTGTTACACAGGATTTAAAAAAGCAAATGGAGGAGATTAGACCACACACTTTTGGATTCCCCTGAGGAAGTCCTGTTCAGGACGAAACAAGTAGTGCAGAGAAACGCAAACATTTCTTATATTGCTATTAGGGGGATGTAACTTTTGTGGTGGTTTTGTATGTTTTAAGGTATTTTGGGTTTGTAAAAAAAAATTTATTTTTTTTCTGTGCTTGGAGATAATTGGATTAGATTAGTACAGTCCTGATCCAATTATCTCCCAGGCACAGAGGAGGGATCTCATTTTGTATGGGAGTGTCCTGGACCTGAGAGCCAATGTGATTGCGTATTTCTACTGTGGTTTACGCTCAGATCCAGGTGGGAGTGCCCCTTGCATGGAGATTGTTATAAAAGGCCAGTTGTGGCTACCATTAAACGAGATTTGTTTTACCCTTCGTGAAGTCTAGGCTCATCTTTGGGGGATTGGAGAGCTATATTCACTCTGGGGATTGCTATGATCACTATACTCCCTTGGATACAACACTGTCTCTTATAAGAACAGCCTGCTTCACAATCTGGACTAGGTGAGGTCTACCCACTGGAAGCTGGATCATTGTCTTGGGTCCAAGGTGGGTGGAGGACAGAGACCGCAACCAAGCTGCGGCTGTTTGTGGGGGTTTACGGTGGTTATGGTGCATGCAAGTACTAGGAAGCAACGATTGATGAATGCACCCGGTCGGGGTGCCAGGCGGTCCGTCACAACCACTACCCTACACTCAGTGCCTGAGCCAGACTCCATAACACCACTGTACCCATGCTGGAGCCAGTTTCCATAACACCACTACACTTGGTGCCTGAGCCGGTCTATCACCACTACACTCTGAAAAGGAATTATGTATATCAAAGTCTACAACGGGCCAAATACACAAGGTTTAAGTTTATGTGGGCCGCAAAAATTTCCATAGAAACTTAGGTTGTTTTTTTTTTTTTTTTTTCAAGTAAAGTATAAAAAATCCCCCCCTACTAAATCCCAGCACCCCCTTGTGACGGATCATCTTGTACCTGGACTGAATACCCTTTAATTTCATTCCCCTCTGAGTTTGGGACATTGCCTTCCCTTTCGTTTATTCTGTATTTAATTCCCCTACCGAACAGTCGGACCACCCGCAAGTGGAGTGTGCTCCTCATTAACTTCCATCACCTCTGTAACACCTCAAAAACCACAGACATTCTAAGCAGTCAGCTGGGTGGTCAGCATTCGGTATACGAACACATGGCGGCGGCCATCTTTAGCTGTGAATACATACAATCGGTGTTTAGTCGTTAAATGCATGGTACTATAAATCAGACACTCGACAGCGCGAACACTGCTGGGACTTCCATGCCTTCCTACTTTCGCCTAGATTTGTGTAAAAAGCGGCGTTCAATAGGAATATTCTTCGGTTCGGCATTTTCACCATTTTATGTATTCCTGAAATAGACCGACCGCACAGCTTGATTTTGTGAAACTTTTTGGGCAGGAGCCCAAAGAGGACATAGTCTTAAATTAGAGGGACAAAGGTTTAAAAATAATATCAGGAAGTATTACTTTACTGAGAGGGTAGTGGATGCATGGAATAGCCTTCCAGCTGAAGTGGTAGAGGTTAACACAGTAAAGGAGTTTAAGCATGCATGGGATAGGCATAAGGCTATCCTAACTATAAGATAAGGCAAGGGACTAATGAAAGTTTTTAGAAAATTGGGCAGACTAGATGGGCCGAATGGTTCTTATCTGCCGTCACATTCTATGTTTCTATGTTTCTATGAGCCTCGTGTGTGGTTGATAAAAATGGGACTTCAAGGAAATCCCGAACCCCTGAACCGATCTTTGGATAGGTTGGTCCTCATATCGGGGGCTATAAAACTTTAGTGGGGGTACTTTCAGGATACTGTGTAAAAGTATATTTTTTTTGTGCTTGGAGATAATTGGGTTATGTGAATAAAATGCCTTATTCAATTATCTCCCAAGCACATAGGAGGGATTACATAGTTTGTGAATGGGAGTGTCCTGGACCCGAGAGCAAATGCCATTGTATAATGGTCTGTACGGTAGTCTACTCGCAGGTCCACAGTGGAGTGCCTTTTGCACGGGGATTGCCATAAAAGGCAGTGTGTGGCTCCATTAAACTCTGTCATCTCACAGCATCAAGCCTCGTCTCAGATTTGTGGGAGAAAGCTATAGCAGCTCTTTCTTCTGCTCTGAGTGCTATATCACTAGCTCTTTCAAGAGCTGTTCCTGCTCTACAGCACCCCTCCCCATTAGGGAGAAAAGAACATCTCTGGCGGCGAAACCCTTCAGCAGGGGGGCCGCCAGAGCCCCTCTAGCCAACAAGCAGACTCCACTCACATTGCCAATATGCAACTCTTGAGTCCGGCCTCTGGTATACTCCAAATGGTGCCATCTGCACCCTGTGCAAAATCTGATCGTCCCGCTACTTCCTGAAACCCTGTAAAGGTGGAGCACGTCGACGTCACGTGCCTCCATGCACCTCCAGGTAATCCACTGTCCAGTTTCAGCCAATGCAACACATCATTTTCTTTATTGCTCCCTACCTTTGGTAGCTGATGTGGGGACTCTCCCAGGCATCCTGCTCTTCACTGCTCACTCGCGCACAGTTTAGTGATGCCGGAATACGACCCAGCTTCACTACAGACGGCACGCGGGGGAGCAGTGAGGAGGAAGTCTGAGCTCCCTTGCTGGCCCTCCTCTCCGGCCGGGTATTTTTTAGCACAGTAGGCACCTGCAATATGGGGAAAGCTGGTGCCTACTCTGCTTTAGCACCAAGCATGTACCAAGATGTCCATTGTGGGCCGCTAGTTTGACATGCTTGATGTCCAGACTGTGCAATATGCCTGTTATCCACAACTCCAAGTCTATCAGATCCTACAGTAATCCATCTGCCATTCCTAGAATGTGTCTGCAGCAGTGGCGTTGCAACAGTTCCAGCCTGAGTTTGTTTACCAGATAATTTACAAATCTCAGGACTTCAAAAATACAATCTCCTGCCGCAATATAGAGCTGTCTACAGATTAGACAACCGCCAAACCTCCAAAAAGTGGAACGTGAAACAAATGCATGGAGATGCTCACAGAGGACATGGCCCACCACACATACCTGTCGAAGCGCCCTCTCTTTCTGCAGACGGGAGTAGAACTGAAGAACATATGGATTGGCTTTCACAACATTCGGATCAAAATCCAAAACCCGAAGCCCCTCCAGACTGCGAGCTCTAGACAGTGCAACATAAGCCTGGCCACTCTCAAAGACACGAGCCAAGGAGATCTCCACACAGTCCAGAGACATGCCCTGCAGAGACAAGATGCCATGATTATCCCACAATGCATTGCTGTCCTCACTATTGGGGTGCAGGGAGTTTATTTTACTTGCCCTGAGGGAACTACAATATACAGACAATGGTGCACCCCCACTCCCCCTTCTAGCCCAGAGAGCTGTATGACCCATACACAGAATTGCCCATTCTAGGGAATAAAGCTAAATGGGCTAGTCTGTCTGTCTTAAAAGTGGAATTCCTTAGTCAATTCTATCCAGATGATGATTTCACAAATAAACATGGCTATGGAAACAAGCACTGCAAGGAGCCACGATAAGTCTTAGCCAGCAAGAACGTGGCACTTACCTGGCTCTTATGGATGGAAATGGCCCATGCCAGTTTGAGAGGGAGCTGTTGGCGACTAATATAGATCCCACCGTGACCTTTAAACACAAAGCGTTCCGCCTTAACGAGTTCTGTTACACCGCACAGGAAGCGAACCTTGGGCACAGCTGTGGAATACAAGGCCGTGGGTTAAACTGGTACCAGAACACCCAGCTCCGTTCATTATGGAGAACCATCACATAATACTTACGTTTACCACTTCCTTCAAACCCAATCACAACACCACGAGCCCCATTAACCAACCCACGTGACACATCCAGGTTCTTAGCCAACATCACCTGCAAAGGATTCCACAGTTCCCATGTAAGAGGTTATTGCAGCAGTAATATAGCACACAGGGAGTTAGCAGCATTTTATGACCTATCCCTGCCCCGGTTAATTACTACAAGTACGGAAAGATTCACCTATTATACAAACTGCACAGAAGAACCTCCCAGCATTGCTCCCTTCGATACATTTTGTTCAGTACATCTAGTGAAGGCAGAATGATTCTCCCCAGTCTAGGCCTCTGTCAGTAAAATCCCACACGGCGTAATTGCCTACCTGTGCACCTTTCTTCAGCTGAATCTTCTCCCCAACCGGGCACTGGCTATTTATGGTCTTTATTAGTGCTGGGTCGCTGTCCAAGGCTTCAAAACCAATCATGTCACCTGCAGGAAACAAGACAGACCGGGCGATTAATTAATACAGTTTGAACAGGTCACCAGTTCCCGATCCTGGATAGTTGGAGGTTCTTGTGAAAGCCTCTATTCATCAAGAATTTCTTTCTAATAGCGGCTCAAAGCCAAGACTGCAACAATGCCCAGCGTGCGTCTTGGAAACCCTTCATTGTACCGGAATACAAAGTGATGTTCTCGTATACAAGACAAGACATTATGAAATCACCTTCCATAAAGAAATTAGAGTCCGCTTATTAACGTGACAGATATATCAGAACTTAATAGGATTATTTAATGCTTTACCCGGCAATTGTTGTAAACGGCGTTCGTTCATCAGCTCCACA